GGGTATTTTAACTCGGCACCCAAGCAAGCTCCGGTGCCGAAATTTTGCTAGTGTATTCCCGAGCCAAGTGCCATCCCAGGGCCGCCTTACCAACCCTCATGCACGTCTAGGCCCCGCATATGAGTACATGGAAATTTTGGCGGAAAAATCGCTAAATCTGAAACCAAAAAAGTTAGAAGCTGAAATTTTGAGATTATATTTCCCGTCTACATATAACTCAAAGATTTCAAATTCAGTTCCCAGGTATGCGTGGTTCTGGCGTACGGCCCCGTGAAGATTCCCGGGGCGAAAATCTTTAACTTGGGATCCAGGGAAGCAGGAAGGTTTAAATTTTAAGGGATGTTCTCAGCACATCTGCAACTTAAATTTATCGAATTCAACACCCGGGTATAAATGGTTGTCACGCGCTGCAGCGTGAAAATTTTTTGCGAGAAAATGGCTAACTCCGGTACCAAGAAAGCTGGAGGGCTGAAATTTTTGGGGAATGTTCCCTGTCCAAGTGGAGCGTAGACAATTGAATTCCCGAAATTCGACGGCCAGTATTTCACACATTTCTAGCTACTGGGTTTCCAAGCGATCTCATTAGGCATGAAACACTGCAAAAACGCATGATCGCACAGGTTTGCCCAGTGCACGTCACCAATGACTAAAAATTTTTTTGGTTGGAAGCTATGACAAAAAACTTCACTGGTGGCACAAAAATGAATGAATCAATTTCCTCGCACATTTTTTATTAATTCATATTTCAAGTGATCCATTGTGAACGAACATATCACACGGTTATACAGTGGTAGTAAGTCTAATATTGCGAACGAAATTCGAGCTGCGATGAACAGCCACGCATCTGTGATCGCCAAAACCGGCATCGCAACAGCCATCGTTAGCGACCATATAGGAATAGCGACGAGGAAAGAGCACAGGTGCCACGCCGGACGCACTTGTCCTGGCCACTGCTGCGTGCTTAGGGCTCATATTGCTTCCTTTCTTTCGATCACTATTACTGTCCCTGCAAATGGCATTTAAAGTCTGCGGAACATGCCAGTAAATTTGAAGGACACATGTAATCAGCTATCTAGGCACTTCAGTTTTGCGCATCCCATCAAGACAACAACATTTATTTCCCTGTTGATACAATAAATGCTTTGTATAAATCGTCAATTGTTTCGTGCTTCGCAAATTTTTTATAATAATTGGCCAACGCACGGGCTACCCGTGCGAAGATGCGTTTTTTGCATAGTTCCCCGCAGTTTTTGTTGCTACTGGCGTCGGTTTTTTCGGCAAATGTTCCTCGCTAAATAAATTAAGACTGGCCGCCAGAACTGGCAGGAAATACCCCTTTAAAATTTCAGCTTCCTAGTTTTCCTGGCTCCTGAGTTAGCAACTTACTGGGAAAAAACTTCACGGGCCCGCAAGTGGGTACCACGCGTACCCGATGTCTAGGTTTGACTCGTTGAGACTTACTTGGATGGGGAACATCTTAAAACTGCAGTCTTTCAGCTTTTCAGGTTCTCGAGTTAGCAACTTGCCCGGAAAAACTTTGGTAAACCCGTGCGTAGGTATCGCACATGACCGATGGCTGTATTTGAGCTCGTTAAGACTAATGTAGACGGGCAACATCCTCTTAGTATTACAGTCTTCTAGCTTTTCTGGTTCCCGAGTTAGCAGCTTATCCGCAAAAAACTTTGGCGGGCTCGTACGTGGGTACCACGCGCGTAAGAGCGCCCATTTTGGGGATCGGAGCCGTACATGCATGTAGATTAAGTCTCCGAAGTTTCAGCCCCGTAACTCTTAAAGTTCTCGAGATGAAAAATCGGTACAGACGAACACACAGACACACACAAAGACAGACAGCCCCTCGTCAGTATGCGTTTTCTGCATTGCATAGCTGCAAAAAGCGCATAATAATGTCGTGCTGGAAACGATTAAATGCACTTTGGCATTTATTCATTTCCGGCACGACATTACCTTGCTGTTTTCATGCGTATTACATCTGCGCAAGTGTGAGAGCGCCAATTACCAAAAGCTGCCTCGAATTTTTGATACATATTTCTCATACAGCAGTCTCAGAAAGCTAAGAAGCTAAAAATTTTAAAATTTTCAGAGTAAAGTCGTTATTCATGGTTTGCATTTAAACCCTAGCATCAGCCTCCAGCTTCTTTGGATGTCAATTTTCGTTGGAAATAAATGTGTGTTTGATTTTCTTGGGCAATCGTGAACATAGCAGCAATGCGCAACAGTGTTGCCGGTGCGGTTATATATTTTTGCAACCTGATTTCCTCAGTTTTATACATTTTTGCACATATGCAGATGCAAAAACACATATTGGCAAGAGATCGCACATTTGCGTCTATTTGTATGTTCGCACTTCTCGTTACCACTTTCAATTCGAGAGCCAGAAAAGCTAAGAAGCTGGAACTAATGGATCGCATCCCATCTTTGTGTTACCCTTCCGTTTTGAAATTATTATTCGCGTAGTACGGGTTTCATGCATAGACACTGTAAAGAAAGTATGTATTTTTCATGAGCCAGTTTATGTAGAAAACTGAAAATATTTTCAGATCCAGTACGCCTCGCATAGGAACACATCAAAATTCGTCGTTAACACGATGCCCCAACCTGAGAATTAGTTGGAAAAAGACAATTGTAACTTGCTAGAATATTTATCACCACACGTGAACTCCCATCTTAAACTGATTTTTTTGCTGCGTCTAAGCCGCTCATAAAGGTGCGTTGGCGATATTCGCAGCGAAGTGGTGATTTTGAGAATCGTACAATCTAGTGATCTGAAATTTGACGTGGACATTCTACTCTTATAAACAAGTCGAAGTTTTTAAAGCTAGCGTCGAGGCTTACCTAGGACTCGCGTTGTGAGCAAGTAAAATTTCAGTAACGTCTTCTCAGTTCCCTGTTTGTGATGTGTTTTTCCGCCGTTTATTTTCACACACTTGAGGCAGCCCTGTTTCTACACACAAATGCCAAGTTATTGGAAAGCATCTGGGCAGTTCCAGCCATAGCAAAAGAAAAGATATTGAACTGCAGTGCACAACTAGTACAAACAGAAGAGCAAAACTCACTTGACACAAATGAATGCAGGCCGATTGTGACACCTGGGGCTTGTGTTGGCTGGACGATGGTATAAGCATGTAATCATTGGAAATGATATAAAATAACTCAGAATGACAGCATCAAATGCGTACAGGAAAACAGTAGCAACAGTGCTATCCAGAGCATCCTGGATGCCATCCATGTAAAAGATTATCACACAGACTGACACAGCACATAATATGTAGCACACTGAAAAGCACAAAACTCTCAGAAATGAAAAACCACCAAAGCAAAACTCAAAAAATCCAGGCTGAAACGCACCAGGCTTGCCGACGCGATCATGCGTTTTCGCAAGAAACTTTTTGGTAATCTGGTCGTTAACTACATAAGTGCTTGCTGCTTTATACTATCTTGTGGACTCACTACCGCAGATCATCGTCAGTTTTGCACAAATAACCCAGACTGGAGCGCACCAGGCTCTACGGCGCGATCATGCGTTTTTGCACTAAACTCGCAGACTGCTTTTAGCAGGAATGATCCCTACGCTGTAGCCTAACAATTGGGCTAATATTGGACGCGCTTTGATCCTTACCGGCATGCAGGAGGAAGGGC